TCATGTAAATAAAAAAGGTAAATATACTCTATCTTCATGAATCTACTCCCAGAAGTATATTGACTGTTGTTCCTGTAGTTAGATACTCTTTCTTGGCCTCTCACTCTTCATAGCTAAGTGTTTATTTTAATGTTTTTTGTGTTTTTTACCTCTTATTTTGCAGTTTCTGGCTTCTTGCTTTTTAATATGTAAAAAACAAATGAAAGCAAGGTATATGACAATCTAGGAGAAGTCTATATTTAACCCTTGTTAGACTTACATACATATAATATAAGCAGTGATATTTGCAACACATTTATATCTTAAGAAAAGTGTAAGGGACTAGTTTATCTATTCTGTGAAGAAAGTAGGAATTGTAAGTAAATTCAAAATGAACTCAAATATACCTTGAAAAATCCCTTGTGTCACCCAGAAAGTTTGGCAAATGTGTAAATCTCTGTGTGGTAGTTCTTAGCCACTGCAGTCTGTGATCCACTGGATGTACCAGGTCCAAGGACGGTAGGGTTCTTGGCTGATATCTGGGTCACCAGACCACTTTGCTTCCATGAGAGTCATTAGTGTGAAGTAGAGACGAGAGGATCCCAGGGTTGCCCTGCACATGTTCAGGCTTTATGCCATTATGGTTTTTTGTTTGTTTCTGTTTTATTTTAAAGATTTTTTTTTTTTTAATGTGAATCACTTTTTTTCAAGTCTTTATTGAATTGGTTAAAATACTGCTTCTGTTTTTTGGCCGTGAGTCATGTGGGATCTTAGTTCCCTGACCAGGGATCGAACCAGCACCCCCTGCCTTGGAGAGCGAAGTCTTCACCTTTGGACTTCCAGAGAAGTCCCATATGCCATTATGTTTTCAACATGAGACTCCTTATCTTAATGCATTTTAATAGATTTACTTGTTTTGAGGAGGATGAAATGAGATATAATACATACGGTGACCTCTACTACAGCACTCTGCACAGATCGTAGATGCTCAGTAAGTCTTTGATGTGCTCCATCACGATCTGGCTTGATCCTCTCCACTGTCACACTGTGTTTGTAAAGGTGTCCAGAGAAACCTGCTCACCTGCTTCCTGTCTTCCCAGATTGGCATTCCTGGTGGTGACCTTCTCTGAGCAGGCTTCCCACTCTGGGTCCCTTGTTAATCTGACTTCAGATAAATGTTTGTGAGTTAAATCATGAATGTTCAAGTTACCACAAGATGGTGTCAGATCATTTCAAGTGATGCCAGGTAGGGGGAGCCTCAGCACAATGAATCTTTAAAGAAACTTAAAATACATGCCTTTGATGTCACAGTATTTAGCTTTTGTGAATAGACCTCTGATTTCTTTTCCCATTCTTCTATGGAAGGAAACTTGAGGCTTCACGTCTATTCAACTGCGAAAGTAGTTGCCCAGGAAAATGACTTAAGTCTTGCAAATGAGTTTACTGAAGTGAATAGTCTAGGATTTCTTGTGTTTGACTGAGACAACTTCCATTTTACTTAGTAAGTTATAAGAATTGTCTTGTTAGTGACCCTTAAGTATTTTACCTGGAGGAGGGCATGGCTACCTACTCCAGTATTCTCTCCTGGAGAATCCCTATGGGCAGAGGAGCCTGGCGGGCTACAGTCCACGGGGTCGTATAGAGTTGGACGTGACTGAAGCGACTAAGCCTAAGTATTTTACAATGGCCCCTCTTCACAATTTCCCATCCTATCATCCCTTAGTCTGATTTATTTTCTCATTATTATATTTTATTTTTCTAACATGTAAATTTTGTAAGAATCTACAGTTTTGTTTTATTCCTTTATCCTTAGTGCATGGAACAGTGCCTGCATAGTCGAGAAAATTGTTAAATGAAGAATATTTTTGCTATTATTTAAATTGATACCCTTTACCTTAATAAGCAAATATTAAAGTTATAGAAAAGCATAAATAAACCATTTGAGTTTGTTGTTCAGTCGCTCAGTCATGTCTGACTCTCTGCGACCCCACAGACTGCAGCACAACAGGCTTCGCTGTCCTCCACTATCTCCTGGAATTTGCTCAGACTCATGTCTGTTGAGTCAGTGATGCTGTCTAACTATTTCATCATCTACTGCCCCTTCTGCTTTTGCCTTCAGTCTTTCCCAGCATCAGGGTCTCAAAGAATTGGCTCTTCTTTGAGTTTGTAATCTTTAGGAATGTCACTGCTAATTTTGTGCAGTAATCAGAACTTGGGAAATTTTTATCATTAGCCTTCTCTGGTTTACATTTATAGCTTCCTTTGTAATTTAGTTCAGCCATCTTCCTGCTATTTACAGTGTATTTCTAATATTCATCAGTCAGGGTATATTGATGAATATAAGACAAAGTGTAAACTAGAATTAGAGTAGGGCAGTATTCTCATACTCTGATTTTACCTTAATATAAAAGTTCTGATGTATACATACACACACACTTAAAAATTACAGGCATCTGTGTGAGTCTCAGATACCTTGCTAACTTCAAGGGTGTTGTGTGAGGCCCCCTTGCTGAGAAACACAATAGTTAAACCTGATCCCCTGTGATGAACATTATCTTCAAAAAACACTGAAAGTTAAACTTCAAGAAAACAGGTATCGTAATTTTGAGCATTTTCCCCCCTGTGGCAAACATGAATGAATGAATGAATGAATAAATATTTAAAAAGCCATGTTGGGGAATTCCTTGGTTGTCCAGTAGTTAGAACTTGATGCTTTCAGTGCCAGGGTTCGGTTCGATCCTTGGTCAGAGAACTAAGATACTGAAAGTCTTGCGGTGTGGCCAAAGGAAAAAAAAAGTATTGTTGATTAGTTCTCAGGATTGCAGTTGTCTGGGTGGAAGTGTGACTGGCACAGCTTACGGCCTGAGGTCTGGTTTGGCGTTGAGGATGCTGAGAATGGAGCCCACTGCCCTCTTCATAAATTGGTGCCCTTGGTCCCTGAAGGGGGTAAGGTTTAGTTTCCACATCCATCCTGGAGGTCAGTGAGGTTTATCTTCTAGATGGTTCGTTCATTCAGCAGATATTTACTGAGTGCCTACTACATGCCAGGCACTGCTAGGTGGTGGGGATAGAGAAGCCCTGCTCTTTCAGAGTCTGTATTCTAATCCCTCGTCTTTTGGGGCCACAGATATCTTTAAGAACGTGTGAAAGTGATGGACCCTTTTCCCTGAAAATCAGTCAGTCAACCTCTTATCCACATGGACATACACATATGGGTGCTCGTGGGCACACAGCTGCTGCGGGGTCGGGGAGAACCTTGCTCGCTGAATTTCCTTCACCATTTCCTGGGTTCAGAAAGCCTACAGCTCAAGCTTACCAAGTGGAGGGCTGTCTCCTGCCCACGCCCCCACCTGTCCGCTGCTCTGGTCTCCCCTCATTGCCTTATGCTGCTTTGGATAAGACTTCCCTGTGATTTTCCTTTCGGATTAGATCTCACAGGGAAGCAGTATGCCTCTGGGAGCAGAACCTGAGGGGCGCTCAGCAGGTGTGCTGAGCAGCCTGCTTTTCCTATAGCTTTGAGGACTGCTACCCTCCGAGTCTCTTTTTTTTGCATCCGAGACATGGAAAGGGTGGGATTTGAGTGACTGAGGTGTTTGAAAATAGGTTAGGTGGGCAGGCCTTGAAGGCAAAGGAAAGTATCTGTGGCTAAATTACAGTCTTGATGCTCATTAACTAAGTGATTTTGAGCAAATTACCTAGTTTATCCAAGCCTTATTTCTCACAGGTGGAAGGGAGAAGAAAAAAAACCACCCCACCATGTAACTCAAAGAATAGTTTTGAAAATTAAACTGAAATAATGTATTTAGCTGCCTAGGACAAAACTGGTAGCTATTATCAGCTCTTTTAACGTCCAAATTGTGTTCCAGGGGAATTTAATCCATAAAGTATTTATTTTGCATGTTTTTCTTTATTGAAATGCAGTTGATGTATAATGCTATGCCAGTTTCTGTTGTATAGCTCAGTGACTCAGCCGTGCACATATACACACTTATTGAGGACCTGGCACAGACTCCTGTGATTACACTCCTGTGATGCTCACCCAGCCCACCAGGCAGTAGTAAAGGACGATAGTGAAGGAATACACCGGTTTTAGGCTGGGTTTAACTTTGTGGCTCTACTATTAACCAGCTGGGTGACCTTAAGTTTTCTGATTTTCTTTAGTTTCCCATTTAGTTTCGAAAGACAATGATATCCCATGACCCAGTCACAACAGAGAGGCTGATTTTAAAAAAGATCGTGCAAGTGAAGTGTTTAGCACAGTGCCTTGTACAGAGAACGCTCCTGAGTTATGTAAGGCTGGTTCAATATTAGCAGTATTATTATTGTTGCTGTTTAGTGCTCAGTCATGTCCGACTCTTTGCGACCCCATGGTCTGTCCGCGGAATTCTCTAGGCAAGAGTACTGGAGTGGGTTGCCATTCCCTTCTGCAGGGGATCTTCCTGACCCAGGGATGGAACCCTGGTCTCCCTCATTGCGGGCAGACTCTTTACCGTCTGTGCTACAAGGGAAGCCCAGTATTATTATTAAGCTTAACCTAACCTTCCCTTCTCCACCCAGAGCTAGGATGACTCCAAAGATGGTTTCTCTAGATTTCATACAGGTACAATTGATAACAGCATCTCACTGATCTATTCTGAATTAGTCAAATTAAGACACTTGATTGCAAACTGGCCTTAGAGATTGCTTGTGTGTGTTATGTGAAGTCACTTCAATTGCATCAGACTCTGCAGCCCCATGGACTGTAGCCCACCTGGCTCTTCTGTCCATGGGATTCTTCAGACAAGAATACTGGAATGGGTATCCATTCACTTCTCCAGGCGATCTTCCCAACCCAGGGATCGAACCTGCATCTCCTGGGTCTCCTGCATTGGCAAGCAGGTTCTCTACCACTAGCGCCACCTGGGAAGCCCCTAGAGATTGCTTGTAAAAGATTTACTGTTCCTGCAAATAAGTGGTTGCTATAAAGTAATTCATTTTGGCAAAAAATGAATGGTAATTTTTCTTTGTGTGTTTTTATTTAGTATCCAAACCCCATGGATAAAAATGTCATCTCCGTAAAAACTGTGGAGGAAAGAAAAGGTAAGTGTTACTGAGTTTTGTAAAGATGTGTGTCTCTATGTGTGTGTGTGGCCTGTGATATTTTAAACAGATTATTAAAAGGTATAGCTCTGTATTCGAGGTGGCTGATCAGAAAGAGCACCCAGCCTTTTCAGAAGTAGAAGGCTTGCCTTTCATTCTTGTCTTTTCCATTAAGAATTGATGACCGCTGTGACAGTTAACATTTTTCAATACTTAATGTGTACCAGGTACTTTTATTTTTATTAACTTAATCCTCAGAACGCTATAATTCCTTTTTAATGAATGAAGAAACCAGGGTATAGAGAGGTTAAGTAACTTAACTGAGGTTACATGGCTATGTCTTTTAATATATTCACATATCATTTTATGACAAAATAGGTGTGACTAATAGCATGTATATGAGATATGACTGTAAAGTGATTGGATTATGGAGTCAGAACTATGCTTAACAATATGGTTCAGTATTGACTAGAGCAGGGCTTGACAAATTATGCTTGTGTTGCCTGTTGTTGTAAATAAAGTTTTATTGGCACCCAGCTATGCCCATTTTTTTTGTGTTACCTGTGCCTCTTTCCTTATCACAACAGTAGATTTGTAACAGAGAATGTATGGCCCACAAAACCTAACATATTTATTTACTCTCTGGCACTCTACAGAAGATGTTTATTGACCGCTGGACTGGAGTGTAGGGGTCTTTCCTCTTCTGTCCTTCACATCTCTGGTAGAAGTGTTTTCACCCTCAATGTTTGAACCTGAGAGTTAGGCAATGAAGGAAGCTATAATGGTGCTCATTGTCAACGTATAAACCTTTGGAGACAGCCAGGTGGCCAGGTCCGGTCTACCAGGCTTGTGAACCTCTTCTAGGAAGACATGAGATGCTGCTCTTCATTTCATGACTCTGAGGCCTTCTCTCTGCTTGGTGAAGAGACAACTGTCTTTGCGAGGGTCTTTTCTGCATTTCCATAGCTCTGTAAATACGATGAAAAATGATTTTTTCAGGTACCTGCACTCCTGGGAGAAAGGTTTTACATGGTATTAGAGAAGTTTGATTTCAGGTCCTGATTTCGTTCCTATCTACATGACCTAACTTCTTGGAGGCTCTATTTCTTCATCTGTCAAATGGGAAAGTAATAACAGCCTGCCTTTAGGTTGTTGAGAAGAATCAAGCAATAGAACAGCATGCAAATATACAGCAAAAAAAAACCACAAAAAAAACAGCAAAACAAATATACAAAGTGGTTAATGATAATTTCTGCAATCGACAGGGGCATCTTCACCTCCAGGAGTGGCTCATCCATTTTCTCTGTGTGTGCTGCAGACGTTGGATGAGATGGCCAAAGGGTGCCAGTGAGCAGAGGAGATGAACCAGGTTTTCATCCTCCCAACAACTTCAGAGCATTCAGGGTGTTTGCACCAAGGTTCAGGACTGTTACAGTGTTATAGTCCAAGCTTTGAGAAACCATGAAGGAACTTGGCTGAGTCATGTAATTCACAGAGCAAAAGACAACACTTCAGAGTTTATATTTTTCTTTGATTTGCTTTCCTTTTTTTTTCACTTCAATTTTTTCCCTTTTTTTTTTTGATGCCCTTAATGCTATTCTGTAAACTTTTTTCTGGAACAGAATAGTTCCAGCCACAGAGAGTCTGCTTCCCTATGACAGAAGAGAATGCCTAATGTAATTAATAATAGGTTTAAATTCGTAGCCAGAAATTGGTGCTTGAAAACTCATTTGGTGAAGATGGTGACAGAATTAGATTCTCCATTGTTTTGTTAAAGCATTCTTAGCCAGAGCTGAGCAGAAGGCTCATTGGCCATGGCCACTGGAGTGCTGACATTGATAGTCCAGAGCAGTGAACAATTTGTGAGTCTTTTTAAAAGTCTCATTGGAGACTTCAGAAATAGACTTTCTTATTTTATTATTTAAAAAACTTTCTTTTGGCTGTACCCTGCAGCATGTTGGACCTTAGTTCCCAGACCAGGGATTGAACCCTCGCCGCCTGCGTTAGCAGGAGGAGTCACAGCCACTGGACTTCTGGGGAAGTCCCCATTTGCAGTTCTTTGTCCTTGACTTTAGAATGTGCTTCCCTGGTGGCTCAGATAGTAAACAATCTGCCTGCAACGCAGGAGACCTGGGTTTGATCCCTGGGTCGGGAAGATTCCCTTGGAGGAGAGCATGGCAACCCACTCCAGTGTCCTTGCCTGGAGAATCCCATGGACAGAGGAGCCTGGTGGGTTCACATATACTTGGAGGGGTCTGGTCCAGGAAAGTGGTCAGGGAAGCTGGGTTTTGAGTTAAACCTTTTCTTTAGGAATTCTCCATATAGAAAATTGAGGTTGATATTAAAAATTTTATTGACATTAAAATAAGAGTACATTTCCTTCAGTTTTTTTTTTTTTGAGTGTAAACATTTTCTGTTTCTAGATGTGTCAACAGGGATCATCTATAGAAAGAGGATTGCAGTCTGTCAGAATGTGGTTCCAGAAATTTTAAGGAAGGTAAACTCATTTCAAAATTTAATCAGATTTTGTGTAACACTGGGTAATTTTCAAATAGTCATGAAAAGAAATAGCGTTTTCTGATGTAAAGAAGTGTTAGAAATTTCCCAGTTCTCTTGTCTCCTAGCCTTTCAAAAGAAGACATCTGTCTCCTCTCCAGCCTCAGTTTTGATAGGTGCTACCAGAGATAGTTTTTTTTTTCCTGTATGTTTTGTCTCTCTTTTGTGAAGGGTGCTTAGTGTACATAGAGATGGACTGCAATTATTTTTAAAAGATACTTTGGATATTTTGCATGAAGTGACCGTCTTTTCTGATGTGTCCATGGTTAGATATGACTCTTAGGTAAGAATGATCAGAAGTGGGCAGGTGGTAAATATTTCATCTGATCTTCAGTAAGGAAGAGAAAAGCTTCAGTTTCCATTTCACTGTCAGAGAGAATGGTTTTGGTAGTATAATGTTCTCAGCACCCTCTGTAAGTCTCTTTGTGTGTGTTTCTGTAAAGTAATGGTGTTGATGATGAAATCTTCATGATAGCAAATTGTTTTTTCTCTTTGAAATCCTTAAGCATTCTGATGATTGCTGGAAAAAGGTGAGTGGAAACTTTTAATCACATTGCTTTAACCATAGAGCGATTATGGACAAAAATCCTTAGAATCATTAGGGAATAAGAGGAGAACGTCTTGATGCACATTTTAAAACATGTTTCATGTGATCTTTTCAACCCAGAAGTGATTGTGTATGTGATGTAAAACCCAAGGCTCCTGCCAGGTAGCTTGCAAACTGTTTAGCTGTGCTGTATATAGAAAACATGGCAGCTTCCATCACTTTCTAAACATGGATGAAGATTGTCAGTTTCTTTACTGGAAAGAAGGCTGATATGACAATGAAAATGAACCTTCTTTTATTTTCCAGATAGCAGTATATTGCAGTATATGCAGCAAATTATTGCTGGCTTTTTTCACAGAGTGTGTACCCTCCCTTTGCCCTATATACACACTTTGAATCTATTATTTAAAAAGGCATTCAACTTTGTCTTGTATCTCTATTCTTAAATAATTTAAGGACACCTCTGACTTGTACGATTCGGCCTTTGTAGTTTTCCATGTTTCCTCCACCCAAGAAAGCCTACATTTCTAGATATTGGACAGAGTTTAAAATGAAGAAAATATTTTATCCTGCGTGTGAGCCCGTAAGTGGGCCCGGTTAGAATCCGTCAATTTAAGAAGGCCATAACCAGCCCTAGAGGAGACATGAGGGACGTTGATAATTTGCTTAGTGTTTAGCAGTTAGGGAAATCGGGCCAGAGACTGTACAGCCTGCATAAATTCTAGCCCATTTGCATGTCCTCACCAGCCTTTAGTAAGGTCGTTGTATGTTTGATTATCGGGGACTTACAGCCATTGGTGAACCATCATCCATATATCAGGATCGCTTGTCCTCTTAGTTCGCCAAAATCGGAAGCAACTCTGGACAGCATCTTTATATATTAATAGCTTGCTCTTCCTAAATTCAGAAAGCTGTTCTCCCTCTTTTGGACAGGTGAACATTTTAAAGGTACCTAATATCCAGTTAGAAGAGGAATCATGGCTCAATCCTCAGGAAAGGAACATGGCTATAAGGAGTCACTGCCTTACATGGACACAATATGCATCCATGAAAGAAGAATCTGTCTTCAGGGAAAGTATGGAAAATCCAAATTGGTAAGATCACCTGTGTGTGTGTGTGTGTGTGTGTGTGTGTGTGCAAGTGCGCACGCACATGTGCATTTGTGTGTGTGTGTAGTAGGGTTCAGGGAAGCACAAATGAGCATACATATTGAAAAGCTATGATTTTATTCTTATAACCTCTGCTTAAAACTCATATAAATTATATAGTATTGATTTTTAATCACACAAGTAGTCAATAAATAGATTTCCCTTTGGGGGGAAAAATGACAGCTCAACTCCTTTCTGATTGTCCTGTCTAATCCTGGTGCCCTTTTGCCTTCTCCAGAGGAAGTGAATGTTTTCAATGCATTGAGTATTCTTCTAGACCCTTAAGAGATAACTTTCAGTTCAGTTCAGTCGCTCAGTCGTGCCCGACTCTTTGCGACCCCATAAATTGCAGAACACCAGGTCTCCCTTGTCCATCATCAACTCCCGGAGTTTACTCAAAATCATGTCCATCGAGTCGGTGATGCCATCCAGCCATCTCATCCTCTATCGTCCCCTTCTCCTCCTGCCCCCAATCCCTCCCAGCATCAGGGTCTTTTCCATTGAGTCAACTCTTCGCATGAGGTGGCCAAAGTATTGGAGTTTCAGCTCCAGCTTCAGTTCTTCCAATGAACACCCAGGACTGATCTCCCCTAGGATGGACTTTAGATACTCATTAAACCTGTATAATATAGTTTTGTTTATCCTTTTTACATACATGCATTCATTCTGTTCAAATCATTGTGCACTTATCTTTTTCATTTTGTAGAATGTTTCTAAGCCTTATCCATTTGATGTCTGTAAAATCTAGATTATTTCTTTGAACTGTTGCATAATGTTCAATCCTATCATTATACTACATTCTCTTTAGCTTTTTTCCTTTTTGACAGATGTTCAGATGATTTCTAATTACTCTTGATTATAAGCAGTACTACTTTTTATTTTAAATAGTACTATAATATTTGTGAAGTGTATGATTCTTGAATATGCTATATGGGAATGTTTCTCTGAAGGAAAATTGATTTCATTATTGAAATATAGTTGACATATAGTATTATGTTAAAGGGGAAATTTTAATTGTCAGGCTTATTGAGTTATTATTTACAAACAGTGAAGTTCTTAGCATACAGTTCAATGGCACGTATACAGTTATGTAACCACTGTCACAGTCAAGCTTCAGGTAGATTTTAAAGAGCCAGGATAATTCGATGGGGACAGAGTATTCTTGCACAACTGGATATCCACCTTCAGAAGAATGAAGATGGACTTCTACCTCATGTCAAACCCAAAATTAACTCAATATGGATCAAAGACCTAAATCAAAGAGTTAAGACTATAAAACTCTTAGGAAAAAACATAGGGGTAAATCTTCGTGATCTTGAATTAGGCAATAGTTTTTTAGTATGGCACCAAAAGCCCAAGCAACAAAATAAAAAAAAAAGGTAAGTTTGACTTCATCAAAATTAGAAACTTTTCTACTTCAGAGGACACCAAGAAGGTGAAAAGACAGTCCAGAGAATGGGAGAAAGTATTTGCAAAATCTGATAAGGGTTTCAGTTCAGTTTGTATCCAGAATATATAAAGGACTATTATAACTCAGTAAAAAAAAGACAACCCACTTAATAAATGGCTAAGACATTTGAGTAGATATTTATCCAAAAAGGTATACAGATGGCCAATAAGCGTATGAAAAGATAATCAGCATCTTTAGTGTTTAGGAAAATGCAAATTAAAATCACAGTGAGATACCATTTTGAACCTAGTAGGCTGACTGTAGTAAAAAAAACCACAGTAACACGTGCTGGAAAGGATGTAGAGAAATTGGAACCCACACACACTGCTGAAAGCAATGTCAGTGGTGTGGCTGCTGTGGAAGATGGTTTGTCAGTGCCTCAGATGGTTAAAGAGAGTTATCACTTGACCCAGCAGATCTACACTGTATTGTCCACAAAGATTTGTAGGAATGTTCATAGCACCATTATTCCTAATAGGCAGAATGTAGAAACAAGTCAAACATCCACCATCCGATGAATATGTAACCAAAAATGGTATATCCATACAATGGAATATTATTCAGCCATAAAAAGAAATGGAGTAATGATTCATGTTCAAACATAAAGTTTGAACACACTATTTTCAGTGACAAAAGCCAGTTACAAAAGGCCATATATTGTTTGAGTCAGTTTATTTTAAATGTCCGCAACAGGCAGATTCATAGGGACAGAAAGTAGATTTAGTGTTTGCCATGGGCAAGGAGGACAGGAGATGGAATTTTTTGGGGGGATGATAAAAATATTCTGGAACTAGTGTTGATGATGTGTAACTCTCGAGTATACGAAAACCACTGAACTATATACCTTAAAGGGATAAACATTATGGTACATGAATTATTCCTCAATGAAAGTTATGTGACTGGTTCTCAGGGTATGCATATTTTAGGTTTATATAGATTCTGTCACCAATATGGTTTTTAAAAAATATTTATTTGGCTGAGCTGGGTCTTGGTTGCAGAATCTTTGTTGAGTTGTGAGGACTCTCGTAGTGATACACAGGCTTGGTTTCCCTGCGGCATGTGGAGTCTTAGTTCCTCGACCAGGGTTTGAACCTGCATCCCCTGCATTGCAAGGTGGGTGCTGCAGAATCTTTGTTGAGTTGTGAGGACTCTCGTAGTGATACACAGGCTTGGTTTCCCTGCGGCATGTAGAGTCTTAGTTCCTCGACCAGGGTTTGAACCTGCATCCCCTACATTGCAAGGTGGGTGCTTAACTACTGGACCACAGGGGAAGTTCATATAACCAATATGTTAATGTGTTAATTTACACTCACATCAACAGCACGTGAAAGCTCATTTCCTGTAACATTGCCAGAACTTAACATACTTTTTTATTTTTTGCCAGTATAACTGGTGAGAAATGATTGCTTCCTTTGAGGTAGGTTTACAAACAAAAACAAACTATAACAAGCNTTTGCCAGTATAACTGGTGAGAAATGATTGCTTCCTTTGAGGTAGGTTTACAAACAAAAACAAACTATAACAAGCACCAAATGTTAATAGTGATTATTGCTGTGAACTGATTTCAGAGGATAATTTACTGCATGTTTTGCTATTCTGTATGGTTTGAATTTTTTATTCACTTATCATTTTAAGGCAGTAAAGCCTCCAAACCCAAATAACTAAAAACCAGAAGTCTAAGATCCATCTGAAGCCCCATCCCTGGTGCAGATCATTTCTGCTCCCCATAATTTTGGTCCTATAGTGACAATTCTAGAATGCTCCAACAGCACACTGATTGTGAATGCCAAGTCTTACTAGCATCTCAGGTGGGTTTACTCTGAACTGCCCACTAGCTTTTTTTTTTTCCCCTCTCAGTCTCCCTCATGCCAAGAACTTCACACAAGTCATAGATGTTTGGGACTAACTATAAAAATTATAGATAAAGAATAGAGCTCCCCAACTTTTTTTTTTTTTTTTTTGTAGAAATAGTAAACGGACAGAGTTGGCTGATTTTATGTAAAAAATACAGAAGTCTTTCATTTCATGTATTAGTACCTCATTTCAGCCTCATTTTATCAGCTCTCTGGGCTGTTGAGTCTGAAAAACTTTACTAAAGCTTCATCAGTTCTTTATAAAATGAAAATTGGCCTAGATAATCCAGGGAGAATATCCTTCAGGACCTTTTTCCTTTGTGTGTTTTTAAAAATTGGTGTTTTTTTTTTGAATAGTCTGATTCTGGAAAAAAATGATACACATATCTTGTAAAAAATACTAAGCAATTCAAGTGAAAAAGAAGCAGTTTTCATCATCTAACAGTTGTGCCTATTTGCATAATTTTCTTCATCCAATCCTAATTGACGTTTAGATTGTTTCTGAATTTTTCGCTGTTATAAACAATGGTGTGATAAAATTACTTTGTTGTTGTTTACTTGCTAAGTCTTGTCCAACTCTTTGCAACCCTATGGACCTTANAGCAGGGGATGGTATGATGACAGCTGTGATCAGGCTCTGGGAAACCTACATTTTCTTAGGTCTTGATGTGGATTTAGAAGGGTGTTTTAGGCAGACATTCTGAATGACTGGAAAATCTTGGGGGGAACATCAAAGAAAGAGGACCCAGTATTACTTCCATTCCCCTCCTTGGCAGAGAGTGTGAGTAGTGACTAGTCAGTGCACCCAGAGGATGAAATGTGGACAGTCCTTTTATAAAGAAAAAAAAGAGGCTGTCACGGCTGCTGAGTCTAAAATTAGACCTTCACGCTGTGTGTTAGGTAGCATGTGTGGGTGTGTGATGGGAAACCAGATGTCATTCTGTCCTGTGCATGGCCTGTCGGCTCAATTCAGAGATGGCCCACAGTGAGTCTCCTGTAGACTCTGGCTAAGCCTTGCTCCGTGTCTCTTTACATAAATCCAGTTTTGGCCTCCTGCTGATGTCTCTGCAGCTGTGGCATCTTCTGGGGCAAGAGCTCCGTCAGTCTTTCCCTGTCTGTGTATCACACAACTGGGTATTTCTAAAGTGCTTTCTTCCTTTGTTAACTTTGTAAGACATTTTCTTCCTGCAGTTTTTATGGAATGGAATTGGCATCCTTTCCAGAGCCTGGAGTGAGGTGATATTTTGCACTCATCTCAGTTTTTCCAGAGTCCAGCTTAGCACTGCATGCCTCAGAGATGCCCTTTTATACTTTCTCTCTACTTATTCTGTCCCCACTTTTAATCAGGCTGCCTTCCACAGTAAATTGCAGACACCCTGACTCACCCAGCCATCTCTTATATAGTTTGTTATATGCCAGGCACTGTTTTAAGTGCTTGATGTATGTATGTGTTTATGAATTTATATATGTAAATTCATGTAATCCTCAGAGAAACTCCATGAGGTTAGAACTATTCTTATCCCTCTTTACAACCTGAGGCTTAGAGAAGTTAAGTAACTTATACTAGCTGACATGACCAGTAAGTGTCAGAATCAGCTTCAGATCCAGGCGGTTTGGCTCTGGAGTGTATGCTGCCGGCAATG